AACATATCCAGTGTTTCCCTGTTAGAAAGGAAATTCCACAAAGTTTCAAAGTTTACTATATATTTCAAGTTCTAAAATTTACAGTTAAATAAGAACTGCATTTGCTTTCTCCTCAATAGTAATTGAACAGATGAACATGATTTTAAACTTGTGATGCAACCTGACTTAAGATACTGCACTTCATCTGAGAATTGTGAGTTCTTTGGAATATTTCTGGAGGTCAGTCCTAAACATTCATGCACATACTGTTCACACACTGTGAGAATGGGTAATCCAATAACAAATATCAAATTTGTTTTTTTAAAAAAGGCAAACTATATACATTTTAGCAACTCTGCGCTATAGCATTTTATTCAGACAATTAGTAAAATCAATGTCCTTTCTTGTATCTTGATGTTTTACTCAGAGTTATGACTAATTTTTAAGTCATATATTAATTTTTCATTCAGCAAAATTCTTAAGAATAGATATGTTCTTGTCTTTTAAGTGCTTCTCAGAAGACTCCAGTATACCAGTTGATTCATTGAATAAGAAGCTTCAAACAAAATAAAAATGCATAATCATTCAAGACTATGGAATGATTGTGGAAAATAAAAATTCATTGCTGCAGAAAACTATGACAAGTATGTCATTATAGCCTCTTACAGGATTACAATTGACACAGAGGAGGCCAAAGCTTTCAGATCGCTTTCTGGAAATCAAATCACACCTGTGCTAAATGTGGCAAGTAAAATAAATATTTAGTTTGCAAATGTTAGGTAAACTTCCACACTTTTGGCATGAATCAGCTATGGAAATGAAAGGCATTATATTATAAAGACACATATTAAGTTGGATACAATTTAGTTCCAATTAATAAATATACCCTGGAACAGTTCCACCACAAATTAAACCAAAGACCAGTATATCTAATCCAGTTTATTTCTTTCAGGGCAGCCCATGGAAAATTCAGAAATAAGATAACATAGAAGTGGAAAATGTACTATCCATAACCAGCTGATACTCAGTAATAGGTTACAGCTATGCATGTTAATAGAAGCACTGTACTAAAGAGATATTCCCTAATTACATTCCACACCATCAATTTAAAAATATTTTAAAATCTTACAGTATGACTTCCAAATTTATGTATGATAAAACACAAAGAATTGTAATCAGGAAAAAAACCCAAAGAACCCTAGAATGTCAGAGTTTTGGCCTCTCTGCAACCTAAATTTATAGTATATAGGTGCATTCACATGTAATTCAAGTGACAGTACAAGCCACTGCTAGCATTCCTGAATCACGTGTATGTGTAAATAGAAGGCAAGGCTACATAAAGGCTACGTACTAAATAAATTATCAGATCATTCTATTGGATTAGTATCAGTCATGTTCAAAATTTGAAACAAAGACTGGAAATCTTTGAAATCAACTACCAGGTTTAAAGATATTTAGTTGAGAAATCAGTAAACACACAGAAAAGTAAACTGAAACTTCTAGACAGAATGCAATATAATATTCTTATGAGGAAAGGTAGCTATATTATATAAAATAATTAAATGAAGCAGAAACTGAAAAACACAGAACTCAAATTATACATACAATATAATTAACCTGCAAACAGTATCATTCATGGTAGTCAGAAACTGTATTTATTTATAAAATGTATATAGCTACCCATGTCCCAAACGTGGCTCTGTGAAATTACATACTGTATGAAGACACAAAACAGCTTGAGAATTGCACTCGCTAGATTTTTTTTTTCACTTTTTGTTTTCTGCTTTATTTTTGTTACATATAACTTAAATTAGCAGCAAAATCCCACAAAAGTGTACTTTACAGATAATTCCACTCAGATCCCTGGAGCACACTACAAAGTAAATAAGTATAAGAAGCCAAACATAAGTATATGATTTATAATGAGCTTCAGGGTAAGGTTTGCCCTAGAAGTCATGAATTCAATTAAAAAAAAATATCTAATCTCAGGTTTGAGTAAAGTGGCTGTGATTAAGCAAGAAGAAAAAAGCAAGGACGCTGCACTTTTCTGTTCAGGTAGCCAGTCAGTGGTCAATGCAGAAAATTAATCTATTGATCAACATAGACAGAAGATCCAGTGTGGCTTCCTAGGACTTTAGTACTTTTAACACCTAGTGCAGAGTTACTTTCCTATACCAAAAATTAACTCTCCACTTTTAAGACAGATACGGTCTGACATCCACCAATTTTCCCGCCCCAAACTGGAATTGATCAACAAAGTTCATTTTTGTTCTGTTTTAAGAGCTGCCTCCTGCCAAATGAGCTCATGTACCAATTGTTGGCTGTTTTGTCTTTGTCAAAAGCAATTTATTGCTTCCCTGGCAGCTTGCTGTGTGAGGAGAACAAGAAAAAAGAGTAGTCAGCAAAAGGACACCAAAAAGAGAGCATACTGCTGCATGCTGCTTTTCGCTCTGCTCCTACCCACTGCTTGCTTCAATCCATCCACTATTAGCATACTATACAACCTCCATTTGATTACTTCTGCAGGAATGCAGTCCTCAGAGAAAAAAGGTTGCCCATTTCTGGCAAGTTCATAGCTTAAAGGCCCCTATTCACTAGAACTGTAATATAAAGTATTATAGACGCTACAGATAAAAGCCACCCTCAGATGCCACAGCCCACTGGGATTCTCCAAGGAAGCCTATGTCTGGGACTACAGCCCATCTCATTTTAGGATTTGGGGGCATATCGGAATCTAAAGCAAAAGCCCAAACCTCTTAACACACTCCCAGAATACAGTTTGATGATAATCTCCACATGTATTTAATGGGTTTCTAGTTCTGGATTTTAAAAAAGAAAAGTTTTGTGCATTAATACAATTAGAGCTGGAAAAATATCTGGTGCCAGAAAGTTCATTTGGAATAGGAAAAAAAAATGTTCATAGTACTGTACTCTCTTTAGAAACTAAATAAGTGGGTATATGTAAAATTAAGTCATAATATACTTATTTAAAGTTGTACATTCATTAAAATGATAAAATGTGGGCACATGCAATTATAAATATATAATTTAGACCAATAGTTTGTAATCAGATTGCCAAAAAAAGGAGATCCAGGTGAGTAGACCTATGCTTTATTAAGATAACAGTTTTATGTATCAGGATTGTCATTATAATTTTACATAGTTTATCATGATGTGCAAAATGTCATACAATTGTACACCGGGACTCTAAAACCAACAACTAGCCCTTCTATTAGGAAAATGAAATGTTTCTGTTGTTTGCTTCTCCCTAAAAAGTCACTCAAGACCTCATGACCACTGTAGCGTTAAATTAGCTTGGTCCAGCCCCCCAGCCCCCACCCGTTAAATAAAGATGTAACTTGTCTTGCTTTCAACAGTAGTGGCAGAAAGGCCGAGAGGGCTTCACAAAACCCTTCTGTGTTAGGGAACGGAAACGCCTAATGAGATTAGTTGGTGTATGCAGACATTACTTAGCCATGACTAAATGGGCTCTCTTCCTGCAGCCAGTGGAAAATTCAGGGAACTTTTTCCTCCTGCAGCATCACGGTCCCTTAACCTTCAGCAAAGCCAGATCCAAAAACAACTCTCCCGTGTTTCCCCCTTCCCTCTTTTGGAACCGACAGTGTACAAGTTTAAAATGGACGATGGGGTTGTTCAGTGGGAGAAGGGGATGAACGGGAAGGAGCCTGGCTCGCTTCCTTTCTCTCAAGACTACAAAGGAAACCGTAAAAGAGCGAATGCATAAACCTGAGAAGGAGAAAACCACAGAGTTTCTTTGTGAGCTGCAGTGACTCATTTTCAAGATGTTGTCTGCTGCCAGTTTCAAACCGGAAGCGCATGGCAATTAGTCTTGCTGTTTCCAGACGAGCCAGAAACTCTCCCAACACGTCCCCCTCCTCCCAAGCCCCTTGGACGGTCTTCCCCCTCTCCATGCAGCCCGAAACAATTTAAGCAAACTCCAATTCCAAGGGAGTCCGGACCGGTGCACTGCCCCCTCCCCTCCCCTCCCC